CGATCGATTGCGAAGATATCGTGTGACTCGGCCGATTAAATTGAATTCAGAACAAATCGCTGGGCGATAATGCAAGAGCCGAGCTTTTTCGGTACGAATATAAACCGGTGTCTGTCTGTGTGTGTGTGTGTGTGTGTGTGTGTGTATGCAATACCGTTCCGCTCATTTCTCAATTTCACCCAATGCCGCTGCACTGCCGCTTGCCGCGGCTACTTTCATTATACTTGGAACGATCGCGCGAGCAGAGTTACACTATCCGTCTTGCGTTCATTCTCTACATCAAATACTGCTCTTACGCATATGTACGGAGTGGGGGAGGGGTGAGGCTGGGCGCAAAAGAGGCGCGAGAGGAAAGAAAAAAAAAAAGAAAACGTAAATAAATCGAGGAGGCGCGCGTACACGCCTGCGATTTCAATTCGAGAGCAAACTGCGTTTCTCTCGATCTTCGCAATACCGCGCGCGGTATTAATGCCGTATGAAAAATTCTGATTGATATTCGCGCGCGCGCGCGCACGAGCTCTGCTTCCCCGTTTAACGGAGAAACGTTTCCCGGGATTTTTTTTCGGCCAGCTCGAAATTCGCGAATCTCAAATGGCACAAAGAAAACAAACGAAAAAATTGTAGAGCAGCAGCGGCAGGAGCAGCAGCAGCAGAATGAGAGAGCCTTTTTTTTGTACCAGTCCGCAGGTATCCTCCGCTTTTGGAATTCGATCTATTCCACGCAACAGTACATATATATACGCTGCTCAACTTCTGCTGAGAAAAACTCTATATACTGGATACTAGATACTCGGCCTGCGCGAGCATTGTTGTTTCTCCGTTTCTCTCTATACAACAAATATTTTTGCGTTGCGTGTGCGTTGTGTATGTACGTATGCTCGTGGCAATCGTGCGCGCAAAACTTTCCAAAGACATCCTCGGAAATATGTTTCATTTCTCTCTCTGCTGCCGCAGCAGCAGCAGCAGCAGACATGCATAAGTCATTAATCATGGCGCGCGCGCTCCGAAATCTCTTCTTTGGTCGGTTCGGAAGATAATAACGATGATCAGTGCCAGTCGAGAGAGAGAGAGGCGAGCAATGATGATCACGATGATCATCGTTGATGAGGACGAAAATCGTAAATCATGTTCGGCCGGTTTCTGCGCGCCCGGCAAAGCAGCATCAGCAGCATAAGCCTCGGATCCGTGTACAATATAAAACATTAGGACACACAATGTAACTGTTCGCTATATATGATGATGATGATGCTATGTGTGCCTGTATAAAAAGGAGACTGCCGCGCGCGTGCGGCAGTGAAATATCGGTAACAATGTACGCGTATAATGCGAATACATCACATACATATATTGGAGAAGAAAAGTAGAGAAAGAGAGAAGAGGTCGAGGCTTATATTGCCCACAGGCAGCAGCAGCACAGCACAGCTCTCGCAAAGGGCCAAACACAAAAAGCCAAAAAAAAAAAAAAAAGAAGAAGAGAGTAGATGGCGAGCGAGCTAAAAAAAGCAATGACATTGCAGTTTGCGTACATTTAATACGACGCAATACGCGCGTATATGGGGCCTCCTATTTTTTGATGATGGCCCTAGGGTCGTGCGCTGCGAGTTCCACGTAGGGCAAATATTGTAATAGGTATACGAGGTACAGACACATACCACAGTGTATGTGTGTTCGCGACTCGGGGGCAACTCGCTCTCTCTACTCGCCGAAGCAGCAGCAGCAGCGTACACTGGACACAAAAGTCGTGCCGAAGCCCCGAGTGTGGGAGAGACAGAGAGCAGAGACGAAGCACACACATCTCGCTCGCAGAGAGAGAGAGAGAGGGTTAGCAAAAGAACGAGAAAGAACGGATATTATCGCCAAACGTTAATTTGCCCCGGACCCAGCCTACCTTCCAATTTCTCGAGTCCTTACACGCCCACTTACGAGATTGTCCGACGATGTGTGTTGCTGCGCTGGCCTCTCTCTCTACTCTGCGCGAGCGCCTCTCTTATTTCCTTGGAAACTTTTCTTGCTCGCATTGTCTCTCTCTCTCGCTTTGGCTTTATCTTTCTACACTCTGTCTGCGTCCGTGCTCTTATGCTATATACATATTTTCGAGCTTTGTCCGTCGTCCTCTCGTGCAGTTTATATAATATTATTATAAGCGTATTAACGTGCGCGCAGGAGGACCCATGGAACAGCGCGGGGCAAGGTTTTATTTTTTTTACCCCCTCGAAAGATGGCATTTTCACGCTTCGTTCGCGCGGATTCGAGAGAGACGAAAAAATATATATATATAACGATCGTCCTTGCAGGCTGCAGGAATAACTCGAATTCCATGATACCTAAAATTTAGCCAAGGCTCGAATTGCCTTTTGATTACGACGCCTATGTAGCGAGTCTATATTTTGGCCATTTTCGGAGTGTGATTTCCGAGAGACGGTGTCCTCTTATTTTTTTGTTGTTGTATATGCAGTGGAGTAATTAAAAAGCAATAATGGTGCTGCACCTGATACAAAAGTGTCGCGGAGTGACATTATGATCGATCGTCTACCAAAAAAAAAGGATCGATCGCCGTGCTTTTATGTATACCTGTATATACACGAGCTATATAACCGAAAAAATGTGCCGGATGATCGCGCAGGCGGAGACGACGACGACGACGAACTCGAAAGAATCCTCAAAGTTGTTTTATCATCATCTTCGACGATCTTTTCCTTCTGGCATTATATACATACGTGCTGTGTGTACCTGTACTCCTAGCCGCATCGTCTCCACACTGCACTCGCCTCCGTGTGCTACGTGTGGTGTATATGGACGCGAGGAGTTGTATCGGAGAGCGAAGAGAGCGAGTGAGAGAGAGAAAAGTGGGAACCGGTTATACCCTATGCGAAGAACAGCGTGAACCGTTCTCGCTCCTTCTCTCTCTCGGCTCGTTCGTTTCTTCCTTTCTCACCCTGCGCGCACCTTATTCATTCTTCTGCTGGACTTTTTTTTTTTTATTATTTTTATTACTATTATTTGCTCCTTCTTTTCTCTCGCTCGTGGCTCCGCGTTGCAGGGAGAGTAGAGACTCCCTCTCCCTTTCTTTTATTTGTGTCCCTTACTACTACTACTACTATATACTCGCGCGCGAGCGAGGCCTTTTACGAATGTGTATTTGTATCTTTGTGCGCTGCGCACTGCGCTATGCGTGCAGCAACTCCTTTCTAGCCTTCTTTGCACTGCCTTTGAGCTTTCTCTCTCTCTCTCTCTCTATTGCCAACTACGAGCCGCACATAATGCGCGAAGAGAGAGAACCTCTCTTGTCTTTGTTTATTTTTATCATGCACGAGTATTTTCTTTCGCTTGTAAATATCGTCGCGGACTGCGTTTATATATTATTGTTGTCTCGAGAAGGAGCGCAAAGACACATCCACGGACCAGTATTAAAAATTTTCATTTTTCCCCTCCTCTTCCTCTGTATACATATCCGCATAGTATATACAACACGAACGTTCGATTTGTAAAAAAATCCCTGGAGATACTTTGAAAATATCGCGATGTACTCGCGCGTGACTCGCCGTCGGGGCTCGAATCTAATTTCGATGCGCTGCGCAGCGTATGCGTGTGATTATCGAAAAATATTATGAATGTATAACGCAAAATGAGTGTTGCTCGTGCTCGCGGATCATCATCATCGTGTGTGTATACGTCCGCGGACCCATCAACCGTGTGCCCACGGAATATATCATGTAAACCGAGCGCTCGGGCGTATCCCACGCATTACGAAAAATTGTTTCTGCGCGCTGCAGCTACTCGAGAGAGCAGAGAGCTCGCGCCCACGGGCCGTCAAATTATCTCTCTCTTTTGCTCTGGGAGAGAGAGAGAGTCCTTTTTCTCGGTTCTCGCGCATATGGACCCATGCCGATCATCGGTGCTCGCACACATAAATGACACACAGAGCAGACGCGAGTCATGCGATGTGTTTAGCTCTCTCACTCTGCGAATAATATTTTGAAACGTAAACGCGCGTACGTATAGGATCGTGCGAAAAGTGCATCGTGTGCACTGCATCCCACTGGGCCCACGATCTCATACACATACGAGTACGTGCACGTACACCCATACCCTTGACCCCTTTATTATCCTCGGCAAATATCTACACTCTCGCTTGTGTATATGCCGTATACATATAATATGCGTACATATATGTTGCCTCAGCTAACCCTCTGCTGCAAGAGAGTAGGTGGAGGTGAAGCCCGAGAGAGAGAAAGAACAACCCACGAGGTTCTCTTCTCGGTGTCTCGATGGCTTTTTTTACGCTTTCGTTTTTGACCGATTCTTCCTTTCCTTGCTCTCCACCTCCTCCTCCTCCTCCTCCTCCTCCTCTTTTCCTTCTACCATCTTCATGTATATTCTCTTGCCTTCTTGCCTTCGCGTTTACCTTCGGCTTTTGCATCGGGCGCTGGCCGATGTGCATGTATGAATGCACCACCGTGGCTATACAGCAACAACAACAACAACAACGGCTACGGTGGCGATGCGCGCGATGTGTTGTACTTATATCTGTGCTGTATGCTGTGCTGTGCAGCAGCGACACCCGCTCCCGGCATAGGCATTGCTGCTGCGTGCTGCTGCACGCGTCGCCCGAGTCGGCCCGCGATGCTAATGCATTCTGAAGGCTTTCGACGAAGGATATAAAAAAAAAGAAAAGAAAGAAAGAAGCGAGAGAAAAAATATCCGCGCGATCGTGCGCGCCTGTGTGCGATTCTTGTTTTGTTTTTTACTCGCAAGAGCAGTATACAACAAAATACTACCCGACTTTTACTTAAATACTACCGAACGCTGCTGTATAAGCCGGTATCAGCCAAGAGAGCGATCGGCAGTGTATTTTGCATGCAAGAGATGCTCATATTTATATAAGAGAGTTTACATATTTGAAAAAAACGATGTATTTGTCATTTAAGCTATATTTTTTATATACAAACTCCCAAAATCTAAACCATATAGACTAATGATTTTCTTACTTTATTTTGCAGATTTCGAATAGACAATACGGATCACATAATAGACGTCAACAAAAACAACGCGGCGTTCGAGTACGACCAAGTGAACATCATATGTCCGGTCTACCAGCCAGGCACCTACGATGACGAAGCGGAAAAATACATTATTTACAATGTGAGTATAATATTGCTTACCGATCTTTTGCCTCATACCGATCTCTCTACCTATTATATATAATAGAAAAGTACGACAGAACCGATCTAGAGCATTATACGTAGAAACTGCGGGCCGCGATCCGACGGAAATTAGATTAAAGTTACACTTTATATTCGCGTCATCGCGTTTCGAGCTAGGCTCTGCTTTCGCGTGCTTTATATTACATTATACGCGCATACCACACGAAGAGGCGAACGCGCGAAGGCAAAAGCGGATGCGCGCCGCGATATCAGAGAGAGCTTGGCAAGCTTATACACTATATACAACGTCGTCGTCGTCGTCGTGTATTATACAACAAAGTGCAGCGCGTAATATATAGGGCTGAATTAATGGATCTTGTTGAACTCTCGATTTCTCAAATCTGCGAAAAGACAAAAAAAACAACGAACGAGGTAGACTATTTAGACAGCTGTGGCGACGTGTTCGCCTATAAATTAGGTCCTTTCTCTTCTCTCTCTTTCCTTCCTTCGGCCGCCGAGCTACTCGCGCGTTCTTTCTCAGGAGTCGCTGAGCCGAGGCCCCAAAAAAAAGTTGCTTGCAACGTATATTAACTGCACACACACACACATACGCACGATTTTATATAAAAGTGCGGCCGTACGAAACACGTGTCTCCGCTGTTGCTGCTGCTGCTGCTGCTTGGCGCGGTGGTTTTGCGGGCGCGAGTTCCTCGCACGCAGGGCTTCTCTCTCGAGGGATTATATCGGCGCGACTCTCTCACACATACACGCGTATACGTGTGTGTGTGGACGGAATACGTGAGCATACGCGGGTGATTGTTTTGTCCTTCGTAAAGGAATGTGACATTTCCTTGCGAAACGCTTGCCAGGCAGCAGCGGTAACAGCAGCACACCTCTCGCGGACTTTTTGTTTTTTCGCGCGGCTCGATTTTTCGTCATCCTTTTTCTCTTTCTCTCTCTCTCATATTCTCGTGTGGTAGTACGCGTATATTATAAGGTTTTCAAAGAAATGGAAAGATGTATACGTACAAAATAAATAAATAAAATAAAAATAAATATTAGTTCATTGTGGAATGCGCTCGTGTACGTATAGAAGAAAAACCTCTGAAATATATATCGCGATCGCATTTTTCATCGGGTCGATAAAAGTCGCATCGATTCAGTCCGCGAGATACGTTGGAGTAAATAATGTACCACAGGTGTACGTACACGCATTTTGCAGTACGGAGAGAGAGAAGAGAGAGAGAGTCTCAACGTCGAATGAGAAATTGAGATAGACGGAAAAGAAATCGTTTAGCCGGGGCAAAAAGTCCGCTTAATTGATTCGGTGAAGCGGCGAGCATGGCTACTTACTACTGCCACTGCTGCTACTACTACTACCACTGTATGGCTTATAATATAGCACGCTGCAGCAAAAAAGTTGCTGTATATACGATCGAGGTGACGAGTAGCTGCAGCAGTTCGAACGACATTCTCTCTCTCTCTCTCTCTCTCGTCGTCCGATATCCCGTGGCGCGCGAAAACTGCGCTACTCTATACCTACCGTATACCGAGAGAGACGGATAACTAATTGTGTCTCCTTATTTATTTATTTATTTTTTTCTTGCCTACCAACCAGGTGTCGAAGGAGGAGTACGAGACGTGCCGGATAACGAATCCGAGTCCGCGGGTCATCGCCATCTGCGACAAGCCCTTCAAGACCATGTACTTCACGATAACGTTCAGGCCGTTCACGCCGCAGCCCGGCGGCCTCGAGTTCCATCCGGGCCGCGACTACTACTTCATCAGCACGTCGTCGCGGGACGATCTGCATCGGAGGATCGGCGGCCGATGCACCACCCACAACATGAAGGTCGTGTTCAAGGTCTGCTGCAACGAGCAGGACCAGCCCAACTACGTGCCCAGCCGCAACAATTGTGAGTATAAATATTGTATAACAATTTTTTTGATGTTATGAAAAAAATACGCGCGCGCGCGCGGGCAAAATTAATCGCTAATTTGTATCGTATACATAAGTGCACACCTGCGATCCCTTTTCGAGCTGAAATTCTCTCCTTCTTCGTTCTCCTCCTCTTTATATACTCCGTGTCGATCACCTTTTCATTCTCGCCCTCGGCGTGACTCGACGGTATGAGGCGCGCGCGGCAACCTCCTTTACTCCGCGCTGCGTCGCGTTTGTATTATCGCTTAACGAGAAAATACGTAGTGCGGCGGTGTTTCGTTTGACGAAATCATCTAATTTTTTCTCATTCTTTCTCCATTCTTCGGAGCTCGTCGGACAGTATACAGTATACGTGATCGATAATCATACGTGTGTGTATTATGTGTAGCCAGACACAGGCCCATCTATCGAGGAGCTGAAGGAGAGGCAGGTGATTTTTATCGAACACATGCGCTCCCAAGGCGCTATTCAACGTAAAAATGCCAGCCCATATCATTATAATCGAATTCCCCACTCCGTGTGCGACGCGTATACGCAATTATATTCGGTGATTCATCTGGAATTCGTCGCCGTCGTCGATCGTTCAAAATTGCATTACGCATCGCGCACGCACAATACGGCTTAATTTTACTTCCTATAATACAAAGATATACTCATATATTTTTTGTCATGTCCTCAGCGATATCGGTAACGAGCAGCACGATGAGCACGAGCAGCAGCTCGACGTCGACGTCGATCATCGGCCAGCACGGTGGCCAAGCCAACAACGGCATCTCGAACGGAATGCCGCCGGCCCCGCTGCCGCCGTCCGTCTACAAGGGCAGCAACGATCGATTCTACCCGAGCAACGTGCTCAACAATGGCCCGGGTGGAAGTAGCAACAACAACAACAATAACAATCGAGATCACACGGGCATGAGTAATATCAACAACAATAACAGAGACGAGCATCCGACGAACAACAATCAGGACAACGCGGTGGTGCCGCCGACGCTGTCGCACATACCCCAGGTGCCGATGTTCCCGAACTATCCGCACCAGCAGCCACAGCCGCCGGTCTACGGCGGTCGGGATCACGGCCTGCTGCCGGCGTCCCAGCCACCCAAGACCTCCATCACGAAGAAGAAAAACAGTGAGTATCGAAATAATAGTAAACTATATGTATTGGCGTATCGCGAGAGATCGCGTATTTATGATTTTCTCGATTCGCGCGACTGCCCAGCTGCAGATGCGTAATCGTGAAAATCCTCATTGCTCTGTACGATGCGCGGCGTTGCGAATGTTTTATTTATGTCTTATTTAATAACGCGTATCGAACTGTGCCCGCGTGTACCACTCATAATTTCTCTCGTTCTCTCTCTCTCGCGAGAGAGATCAATGTTTTACCAGCTCGTATTAAGTGTAATGAGATATATCGAACCGGCTAATTGCTACGTATACACAAATTCTGCGCGCACTTGGCGCTGTCTCATCCGCTATATATATGTATGTAAGCGCGCGAGATTTATAGTAATTTGAAAACAGCAGCGGCAGCAGCGACGGCACAAACCCGTCTTCGATAATTCATTGAATGAAGAAATCATCGTAATTATCGTCGCGTTGGCGAACTAGCTCCGCGCGCCGCGCGAGTAAGCGAGTAAGCGAGCTCGACTTGTTAACGAGAGCGATTTTCTCTCTTTCCCCCCCGTGTGCTGCTGCACATCACGGGGGGAAGCGCATGTATATACATATAGTTACGTGTGTACGCGAGCGTATCATAGCAAAAACTATAGGTACTACTTGCTGCTGCTCGGCGCAGCGGTCGTTGCGTGCAATTCGCGATATATGTATAGTCTGAGACGCACACACACAACACGGGGGCAATGTTCGTCGTCGTCGTCGTCGTCGTCGTCGTCTCTCTCGTTTTATAAATCAAGTCTCTCTCTCGGCGAAAAACGACGATTTCCATTCGACGAGAGTAGTAGTATTGGTATAGCTATATGTACAGCGGTGTGTATAATGCTATACGCGCGTTCACGCATGACGAGTGCAGTTATATAGGAGCTAGCTGCAGCGTATATAGGATATATAAGGGAGCCCCTGCAGGAGCTGCTGCTGCAGCGCCCCGGAGGTGAGAATCGCGGAGTCATGACGCTCATCGTTTTGCCAGCTCTCGCTTCTCCCCCTTACACACGTATATACATATATTTTTCGCTCTATTGTCTTGCGTCTCGTTCTCTCTTCTCTCTTCTCTGCAGCTCGATGTTGCGTTTCGCTCGCTGCGAGTCTCAGCGTATAAGAGAGAGAGAGAGAGAGAACGAGTGCAATGCTGCTGCTGCTGCGCGAGGTATAAACAAGACTCTCTTGCCGAGCACCAAGCTCCGGAGTCGAGCTTATCGAGGAGTCTCGATCGCTGACTTCTGCCGCTGCAGCGCATAGCACACAGCCACTGCACCGACTCAATACTCTCTCTCGCCCGGTGCATATATGCTGCTGCTGCTACTGCTGCTGAAGAAACGACTCTCCTCTTTTTCGTTTCAAAAAAAAAGGTCGCTGCTGCTGACCGTGTATATATGTACGCTATATGCGTGTGTAGTTCGTGTCTGCGACTCGCCCGCGCGTGTGTGTACGTACGTACGTTGTGTTTCAGTCCGTCTCTCTATGTATATTATACGCCCACCTACTATCTTTATTATACTCGCGGACTCGCGTACGTACAGGGTGTACATACTTCTTCTGCTCTCATACATGCACACACAACTTCTCTCTCTCTCTCTCTCTCTCTCTCTCTCTCTCTCTCTCTCTCTCTCGAGTCGGTCGACTTTTTTTCTCTTTTTGTGCGCGAGACTCTTTATCTTCGGTATATGTGTGTGTGTGCGAGCTACTCCGCGGAGTAGTACCTAGTCGTAGTCGTCGTCTGCTATTTTTAGATATATAGAGCTCTAGCTCGAGCTAACTCCGACTTTCCGCGAGCTTCGCAACTTTTTCCCCTCTTTTCTCTCCTCTATGTGTGTTATGTGTGTGTACCTGCGCCTACGTGCCCTGCTACATACTATACCGCTGTCCGTCGTCGTCCGTCGTGCGCGGCACACGAGGCATGCATGTGCATCGACTCTCTTTCATAAATATATACGTGTATGTGTGTACGATGATAGATGATCGCTGATATAATTGATAAATATCTCGTGCAAAAGTAGAGGCATTCCTACGGGCGCGCAGTAATTTCTCGAGGCATGTCATTTTTTCTTTTTCTCTCTCTCTCTCTCTCTCTCTTTAACTCGAGTCTCTCGTCTTTTTGTTGTCATATTTACACTTTACAAATGACACCACTACTACTGGGCTCTCTGCCAGTCGATTGAGTGTCGGTTACGGCCTCGTATAATTTAACTACTTTCCTCCTTGCTTTATATTATAAGTATAAGTCGAGTATAACAACAGGACGACGAGCGACTCGCGGACTTATTACACGCGCTCGTCATTTTATAACCATGCCTCGCACTCTTGTATATATATACTCGTTCGAGTGGTAGTACTGCTTCATATTATTATATTATACGCACGCACAGGCTTATATCGCCAGGCCCCGACATGGTGGTGCCTCTCTTTCGATCTTCTCTCTCTCGTCGCGCTCTTTATGCCACTGACTCTTCTCTCTGTGAGCTGCTGCTGCAGATTTTTTGTCTTCTTCTCCGCTAGCAAGCGAGTAACACGCGTTATTCTTCGTATATACACGTGTGTGTACGTACGTTACGATACATACTCGTTTTCAATGTGCTCGAGCTTTTTTGCCGCTGCTCAAAAGCAGCAGCAGCAGCGAGTGAGTTCGTTTCAACCGCTGCACTGCACTGCAGCACGAAGAGCTTAGAATCGTCGTCGTATATATACATTTATATATAAGCGCGCACACGGGGCCTTTACACACGTATTTCACTTACACGTCGGATGAGATTACTCTTTCTCTCTCTCTCTCTCTCCTTCTCTCCACATTCGCGTACGTGAGCGTACAAAGAATCAATGAGAGAGAGGCGACTTGTGTATGTGGCAGAGAGCTTAGATTCCTCTAGTGCTTTTTTACAAACACACGAGGCTACACAAGGGTTTTATGGCTCTTTTCTTGCGCTCACACACACACACACACACACACACATACACACGCGCGTTATTTGCTCGTAGTTCTGCACGTCGAGTGTACGTACCTAAATAGCAATTATTTTACTTTTTTACGCATACCTGTGTGTATATGGACGAACCGATATATGACAAGCAAAAAAAAAAGAAAAAGATAAGATAAATGCATAAATATTCCGGAGCGATAATCTTAGCAGTATTACGAAGATTATATATGAACGGAGTATACATAGGTGTATATGCGCCTCTCTGGCTACTTGACTGCCGAGACGAGAGTAAAGAAAAAAAAAAAAAAAAAAAGANCAACGAGAGTAAAAAAAAAAAAAAAAAAAAAAAGAGGTAACATAAGCGCGCAGTGACACTGCCGCGACGCGACAAGACTCCTCTCGTGTATGTACCTCGTATCTTCTTCAGAGCTTGGCTGCTGCTGCTGCTTCACTAGACGACGCAGGCATGCATTTATATGCGCGCAAGCAGCACAGCGGCAGCAACGGCGGCGGAAAAATAGTCATCGCTCGCTTATTTCTCGAATTAGTCCTGGAGCCAAAGAGGGGTCGGATCGGCCACGTGAAAAAGATGGATAAAACCATGTTATTCTTATGTATTTTTTCCCGCTGAATCCGAATATCATGGTTAGAAGTCGCTCAGACTGCCCAAAAATTTGTTATAAACAAATATATTGCAAAATGAAGAAAATTTAAATTTTTCTAAATTTAAACCCATATTTGTGTTCTTTGGGCAATTTTAAGCAAAAAGTGTCTCTTGTAAAATTTTCGTAAAATAATTATTTACCTAGATATTGAGACTCAAAGCGTTGCCACGCTCTGATGGCAATGCCCATGTCAGTAGCATGCATAACGCGATTACACGCTCTGACACGACGATGTTTATAGTGCAAAAAAACATGTCCAGTATGATAAATCATGTTTGATATTAGTATCACCTTAAAGATTAAGTTTTTATCTCACAAATGACGGGTCTAAAATCGATTTAACTTTATTATTTTAAAAGTTGTGGGTATTTGAAAATGGTCAAAAATGTGCATTTTTTCCTCTTTGAGTCTCAATATCTAGGTAATTAATCATTTTACGAAAATTTTACAAGAGACACTTTTTGCTTAAAATTGCCCAAAGAACACAAATATGGGTTTAAAATTTAGAAAAATTTAAATTTTCTTCATTTTGCAATATATTTGTTTATAACAAATTTTTGGGCAGTCTGCGCGACTTCTAACCATGATATTCGGATTCAGCGGGAAAAAATACATAAGAATAACATGGTTTTATCCATCTTTTTCACGTGGCCGATCCGACCTCTCTTTGGCTCCAGGACTAAATCTCCGAGCATCGAACTAACTATTTTGCTACGGGGCTCTCTTTCTAGATGAATTAGCCACCGGACTGAGTGATGAATAATCAAGCGCCGCGCGCGCCATTCGGTTCTTCGGTATCCTGTCGTCTATAGCGCAGCAGCCGTGTATTAGCTGCGTTTGATCGAGAAAAAAAAATCGAGCGACATTTTCTTCCTAGCATGTTCAGCAGCAGTTGCATAACGCTTCGTTTAACTCGACGCGACGACGACGACTACGACGATCTTCTAGGAAAACTGCAAAATGTTGATCAACTCGCGACTCGTCCGTATAAATTTATAACACGTCGCACGAGAGAGAGAGAGAGAGATTTAAATTCCAATATCAGCAGCGTTTTGCGGGTCGGGAAAATAATGATCGCTGTACCGTGTACGAAAATATTCCAATGGCTTCTTTGGAAATTGTGCCGGAAAAGTAGGCCTGTATCGTGCTGCACGAGAGACGACGAGCTGCTGCTGCAGCTCAGCTCGGCGCAGACAACGCTACCGGCATATCCACCAGCAGCAGCACCGCGTCGCCCTCTGTGTATCAGACACAATGCGAAATACTCTTATCATTTTTAAAACACAGTGAAGTGCAGCCGTCGTCGTCGTCGTCGGATGTCGTTGCCTTGGTGCCGCTGCTGCTGCATCGTGTGCATTACGCAGACATACACACACACACACACGCACAGACCTACCACCACTACTCTCGTCATATATATCGTACACGAAGCGAAATGAAGCGAGAGCAGCAGCAGCACTCGACTGTACTGCGCTGCTGCTGCTGCTGCGAGGAGGGAGCAAAAAAGCAGCCCCCGCGGCACTTTTTTCACCGCGCGTCGAGTCATCGTCAGCAGCGGCAGCAGGCACTACTGACGTTGGCGTCGTTTCTCGTCAGTGCAGCTATATAGCGACGGCGGCCATCTGCACACGCTCAAAGAGCCCCCGCGTCATTCTATAGTAATTTGACTTCGAAATGCGCGCGAGCGAGCGAGCCCAGCGGCATCGACTGCTGCTGCTGCTGCTGCACCGGTAGACTATATTACTCGTTTGCATCTTGAATATTGTTGCGTGATACGTCACCTATATGAGACGTCGCGCGGTCAGCCTCGTTGATATTAACTATAGTACCTAAGTCGCCGATAGATGTCGCGTTCAAAACGCGTAGGATGATTAGTAAAGCTAGTTGCTCAAATAAGTGTATATACCAAGGTATCTTGATTAATATCTCCTCGGTAGTATTGTAACGTTAGGAAAGCGATCAAAGTCGCAAAATGCCAATAATCGAATCCAATCATTAATTTCGTCTCTTTGTTTTCTTTCACCTTGCAGAAGAATACTCGGACCATCCGAACGAAGTGGTGAAGAACGAGGAGCTGACGTACAACGCGGCCTCGTCGAGGACGTTGCAGCGGACGTCGCGATGGACGTCGCTGCTGCTCGCCGCCGCGGTCGCCCTCCTGCCTTACCTGCTGCGGTGAAGCGATTTTCGCCGCCGGCCACAACAAACGATCATCATTCGACGATATTAAAAGAAAAAATTAAAGGGGGACGTCGTCGACGACGACACAGTGTGCAAGAAGAGTCAAGGAAGAGACTATTTATACATTAATTAAAGAAAAATTAACGAAAAAACGTTTAGGCACGCGTGCGTGCGCCTGCCGCGTGTTGTGCGTTAATATATATGTGTGTGCGTATGAATGAAATAGTCTGTCTGTGTGTGCGTGCGTATGTTTGCTGTATTAACTGTTATAATTATAATGAATAAAATAATACGTGTAGTAATTGTATCCCGAACGCAGCGCGCGCGCGACAAAATAAGAAAAATAATAATAATGATAAAGGACGCGAGACGACAAGACAAAACCCCCCTTTCTTCTGTGATTTGTAATCCTATTTAAGGCGCGTTCGTCGCTCGGGCCAAAACCGACATGCATACGAGTACATATTATACATAACGACGAGAGATTGTAACGGATAATGATCGACGCCGATTTATATTAAAAAAAAATGCCTCTGCATTTTTCAAGCCATATTCAATCGAGAAAATGTTTAGCTCGCAAAGACGCTGTGTGTGTGTACGCGTGTACGTCGCCTATGATATTATATAGAAATTTTAAAAGAAAAACAAAAACTCGACAAGCCCGCGACGCCACTCGTCGTCGTACTACAGTCGTCTGCGTGTAGATATAACTGCGTTGTTGACGAAATGAAAAAAGAAAAAAAAAACAAAAAGGCGCGTTACACGCTGTGCTCGATATCGCTCGTACTCATTGTGGGCGTTTATTGACCGAATCCGATATATAAGTATGTGTATACGCGGGGCACTGTGTGCCACACGACATATACAATAACGATGCGCCATCGAGAACGAAAAAAATTATTGTAAAATATTATAAAATTTACGTTTACTCCTATCTACCTGTCATATAGAGATTAACACGAATAGGTGTAACCGATTGCGACGCTATCTCGGGTCAATTTTGCGCTTCGCATATACAAGCACGATTACGAGCAATTCAGTTACTAAGCGTTCTGGTGATACACAGGGGTGACTTGACGCGCGTTGTGCTGTGCCGCTGCCGCGAGCAAGTAAGCACGCACCGGCGTCGTCGTCGTCACCGTTGCGGGATTTATTAGCATGTCAAAAAATTAAGAAAAAAATAATGTGTAAATACGAGAGATACGAGGTTGATTATTCTATTAATTAATTGATCGTGTAATTCCTATGAGGTGTGTGTGCGCGCGCGCGCGCATCGAGCTTTCGCGCGCCCGAAAAACGATGTTGCTCTAAAGCTGCTAACTTACGTAACGATAATAATGCATGAAAGAAAAAAAACTGCCTGTGCCCAACCATCTCGTGTCACTGCCAATTTTTTTTTTTTTTTTTAAGAGAGCGAGGAGCAAATATTTTCAAATCGACAGAAAAAAAATAAAGGCTGAACTATATCCTAGATGTCGAAGCTCTGCAACATCTGTTACAAATATATATAAAAAAATGCATATATATGAAGAAAATCCACGTGAATGTCAATTTTGCAATATATTTTGTTTCGAATTAAAATGTTTTTTTTTTTGTTTAGTTATTCGATAGATAATATGTGCGTGCGTATGCCTGTACACGTCATCGAGCGTGGTCAGAGGTGAACAGAGAGTCACCTTTTGCGTCGATTGGATGTATGCTTGAGAAAATTGTGAAGCGCGGATGCGAGAATGCTAGATTTTTATGGAAAAAATGTTTGTCGTCAAAGACTACTTGTATTATAGCTGTATTATACCGAAAAAACACCTATCATTATAGAACTGTATTATATTTATTATATCAATGCATATTTCTAAATATTACGAACATTTACTCGATAATCTATAATTAGTAAAATATCAAATTTAATAGAGAATAAATTCGCGATCGGAAGTATGAGGCTCGTCCAAAATAAAATGCGCCGACTCCCATTTGTTTTTTGCGTAAAACCATGCGGAGATAAGCGACAAGTCATTTGATCTTCTTTCGCCAGTGTACGATCTGACGTTATTGCGTTGATATTGTAACTGATCTTTTCATATAAACTCATAATAACACATACTTTTCGAAACCACATTCGATGGATAATAATCGATTTTTTAATTCACGTTAACAATAGAATTTTAAACAAGAAGACCTTCATATGGTCTGCAATCAATATTTAATCAATTTATCACAGTCGGGGTATACAATGTACCCGTCCATAGTTCATTTGTTTAATCAAGACAAAACCAGCTATTAAATATTTTCATATTTCTCTCAGTGTTCATTACAGTCTGTTTCAGTAATAAACAAATTATATGAAACTGTGAGGTATCGACGAAATATTCAGTTTGATCGTTCGAGGTGTCTAACTAACGGAGATTGACTGTTTTACTGCCAGTAAAACGGTGGACAATTATTTTACGATTTTTATCTAGAATGTATAAAAATTATTTCATCCTGAATAAACCGCTAGTAAATAATTTTTATATGTGTAAATAAAAATTGTAAAATTTGTAGCATTATATACATAAAAACTATAAAAATTTTTTCATTTTAAAAATTGTTTTTTAGTTGTATTTATTTTTCTTTATCCTATTTATTTAGTTCGACCTTTACCTGCATTCCTATCTCGCAAGTCATACTTTTTATAGAAATTTTTATTTTTATCCAATTTAGATGAAAACTTTAGCATTTATATATTTTTTTTTGTATAAACACTTTGTTTTAGTATTTTCATGGTTCTTCAATTTTTAGTTAAAACTCTAGGTGTGGTAAAAAAATGTCAATGCAACATTTATTAATAATGTACAATTTTATATAAAAGAATTATGATTGTGTTCTAGTAAATTATGTTCCTATAAATTCTCTATCACGGTCAGTCTCCTTGAGCACCGACGGTCAAGTAAAATTAATATATGTACAATTCACAAAAGTTGCATTTTGTATTGATGAAAATGTTCAAGTTTTTTCACTATCTATATTAATTTATACAAACTTTTTTCATATCGATAATAATAATTCAACAAATCTGAGGCATTTCAAGGGACCTGAAGATATGTACAGAGAAAGTTTTGTGATCATAATAATTTTTACGTTAAAAATCGTTAAGTTAAATAATGTGAAATAGAATGTTTTACGTGTAATACGTTGCGTCGAAGAGTAGGTAATTATTGTTGCTTGAATAACTTTATTACGTTTTACAGAAAAAATGTCAACACTTGATTTGAATTACAAAAAAAAAATAGTTTTAAAAGTCATCATGTGCAGATCAGCAAAAATTGTAACTAAATAGAAGTCGATTTTATGATTTCAATTCAATTTCAAGTTACGTGATGTTTCAATTCTGTAAATAATGGCTCAAAATTTTACTAATGTAGGGAAGATGGTCTAATTTTTTTGCAGTCAAGATATTGAACAGGTTCCGACATTTTGCCGTTGCATAAGCCTAATTGAATAAAAAAGTAAAGACAAAAAGATCATTTACTTCTGTATACAAATGCACGTGAAAAAGTACTTTGTTCGTCGATCAACGATGGATGTTGTATACATTATTATACATAAAAAAATATAAATATTAAATCAATATATATAAATTATTTATATAAATATTGAAAGCAAAATGTGGTGAACAGAGAATTTTGTCTTAAGTGTAAATAATACGAAAATAAAGAAATGTGAAAATATATAAGTAAGAGAAAACATAAGAGTATAAGAATTATAAGAATAAGAGAAATTAAAAAAAATTCACTAAATAATGAAGATAAACAATGAGTTAGAGATTAAAAAAAAAAAAAATAATCACGCGATGAAATTTATATGAGGTACGAAACAATTATAGGTTTCTTATGATAGACGAACCTGTACGAAGCTGTAAGAACGTTGATGTCAAAAATTTTCAAATTGACACATAGTGCAAGCGAAAAAGAAAGGCGCGGAAAATAATCGGTATTATCATATAAAACATAATTCCACGTATGACTCGTAAATAGTACAACGACGTCGAGATTATTGTATAACACACGTATATCGAGGTAATGAGTGAAAAAAGTGCAGGTATATTGCGATTGATGCGATGAACGTCAATTCAAAATTTTCCGACGGAGGTGCAGCGTACGACGCACCGAAAATTGTTTGCGCAGCAAACCCCACGTTAATTGTATTATCCATGTCATTGAGAGAGTCACTTAATTAAGCGTACCCGCATGCATTTTACACGACAGAAAACCAGTTAATATTAGTCACATAAATCGTGCATTACTTCGGCCTACAAACAGAAAAATAACGAAGAGTATATAATACAGATGATCTTGGGATTCGAATATATGTATGATTTCTCTGTTTGATTTCTGCAAAACTTTTTACAATAATATAACGTATACCGATGTCTTGTCCGCATTGCGCCGTGACGACTTACAACACTTCACACTTATCCGTATCTTGCTGTATCTGCGTCAACGGGGGGCCGACGACGACTCTCTTCGGCGTATACACGAGTCGGTGTATTACCTTCTATATGTATCCGATCGTCGACACGGAGTCGTCCATTGCGCCCTTCGAGCAGTGAATTTTCTCCTTTATTTAAAATAGTTTCCGTGTGCCTACACGTGCACACGCCAGAGTTGCAGTAAATCATTGTTCACACGCGACAATGCCATTACAAAACATATACAGAGTAGCTTAGTATTCATAAACAAGTAGTCCATCGTAGCGAAATAGTGTTTGAAAAACAGAAAATAGGACAGAAAATAAAAAAACAATTGATCGCAAAGCGCCATAATCTTAATAAAAAGAATTTCTAATAATCACAAAAAATGCTCTCACACACACACACACTCACAGTGAACATATTTTTAACGCATCTCATTTACCGTATGAAACATAAAAAAAATTATAAAAAATTTTGCTGTGCTCTGTGCAACAGCTCTTACATTCGTTCGAGATAAATTTGAAAACACATACACACGTACAATACAATACAATTTTTCCATATGGGCTAGTTATAATAATTTCTGTTCGTTTTATAATTACAATATAGCCGCAGAGGGTGTGGATAATTTATATCACGTATTTAATGATTATAGACAAAACGAAACCAAAGTACTTTATTGATAGGAATCTCGGCCAAGACGACGTCAAGAACTCATTTACGAGAAATTTGTTATTCGGATTATTGTATAATCTTGCAAGCGGATGATTACTAATAATAAAAAAAAAAGAAAGAAAATTGTTTTTGTGAAAGGCTTATATTCAACTATTATATTATACAATTTATTATGAAAAGAAAGAAAAAAAACTTGTTTATATTTTTCGTAAAAATGATAATGATAACGATTTGACGGTGGATGATAAATGATGGTGAGCATGATGATGATGAAAAAAAAAAAAAAAAAAAAATTCATGTACTCGTAAAACATACAAGACGATTGTAAAAATTTGATAATTTTTCTAAAAACAAGTAGGAGTTAAAATAAAGAGAATGTAAAAATGATGAGCGTGAAAGAAAATAAAAAAATTAAACTTTAAACATTCGTGTAACATTTATTTTAATCCTTTACAAACGTTACCTTTTTTTCCATGGACGAGAAAAAACTGTTGTAACAAAGACAAAAATAACTACAACTGTATCATATTTTTCTTCATACGTTTTTTTACAATCATTGAATGTGACCTATTTAAAATAAAAAAAAAAGAATTTTTGATGTTAATCAAACTCTCATTTGTAATCAAATTATTTTTTGATCTCGAAAAATCTAATCACAAAAGTAAATTTAAAATTATTTTTTTCAAGTATGAACTTTTTTCGTCAATCGATTTTTCATTTTGTTTACGGTTCTCTACTAATGATTGAAATATTTAAATACATTGATATTGTTATAAATGCATTATTAAAGATCGCACATTTCTGTAAGATTTATTTTCATAAATAATTACAGGTAAAATAGAGTCATGTACGCGAATAGAATCTTCGATAAATCAATAACTCAAAGTATACTTCAAATGTTTGGAGTATGCACAACTTTTTTATCAGTTGAGCCGGTAATAGAGATCTTGCAATGCGCAGAAGCGTTTAGTTACATCTAGCTACAGGCGCAAGCGCGAAAATATGCCTGACGTACGAACTTTCATTGAAAATACTGCATTTACCATATTTCAATATATCTGTATTTATTAAATACACACGTTCTACGCAACAAACTGCTCTATTCATTACGTAACACAAGAAAGAATGCACTGTTTTACTTGTGGTAAAATGAATATTCGCCGTAGTGGAATGAAAAAACGTGTATTAATGGTTTGCTTTGGTGAGTTGTTTAAGGGTTTGTTATTTTATTAGTGTACCACAGTGACAAGTACAAATGTACGACTCGCTTCAACTTGTACTTTTACTGCGCGGCAGGAAACACCTGTAGATCGCCGATAGCCGAAGCCATCTTCCATCAATTCATACGAGACAACGAGATGCAAGACGAATGGGAGGTTGACAGCGCTGGTCTGGTGGGATATCACGAGGGAGAGAATATTAATTCAAGGTCGGCGGAAGTACTTAAAAAAAATGGAATCGGCAATTATTATCACATTGCTCGGACGGTACGTGGAATACGATAATTTTTTTTTTCTACCACGGTGCAATAATATTTCTACTGACGCAACTGAGTAATTTTGTATATAATTTTCCTCCTGATAATATCTTGAAGAGCTCATACAATTGATTTTATTTGATAGATAAAAAAAGAGGATTTCGATACGTTCGATTGGATTTTGGGTATGGATTATTATAATCTTCAAGATTTGAGTTATATGCAACCGAAGGGGTCCAAAGCCAAATTGGGACTCTTGGGTGAATATGACCCCGAAGGAAAAATGATTATTGAGGATCCTTATCTTGTATGTATTGATAATAATTTTCAATTTAAATTTTATTCATTTATACAATTTTAAAAAATGTATTATTTGCAGGATAGAGATGCTGTAAGATTTGAAGAAATATTTCACCACTGTAAAAGATGCATTCCAGTATTTATCGACAAAGTTGGATAGTGAACGAAAATTTGAATTTTAGTTTATTATGTGAATGACAATACTGAAAAAAAAAACCATAAGACTACTCAAGATCCCTCTAGAAGATGAGTCAGAGCATGAAATTAGGAAAGGAATTTCAAACGGTTGCTTCAATTATTTTTTACATTTTTGCAACTTGTTCGATAATGTTGGAACGTGTTTTTGCGTTTGCCTTGAACTTCGCGAGTTTCTTCGCGGACTTCGGTAACGAATCATCGCTTTGTTACCAACCCAATCGACTGATAAATAATAATTGAATTGAACAAAAATTCGATATAATTGCATGTAAATATGATGAATTTATGAATAATTTTTACCTCATTATATCGTGAAACTTAAAATAGCCTTTACGCAGCATTGAAAGTACTTAATTTCGCGAATGAATGTTTTATATTTTTCATAACTATGAACAATGCAAATTGCCGACAATAATTAAGACTCTTTATGTTCGGTAATATGCAATAAATATCATAAAAATTATACTACAAGATAGCTTAATGGTATTTGATAATTAACGAAGCATTTCGACAGGAAAAATATAAGAGACCCCCAGCGGTCAGCCAGCAGTGGCTCTACTTCTTCATTTGTGAAACTACGATAATCAAATAGCTCCAAAATGTCAAAATTACTTTTCGTCTTTTTGCTGTGTGTGGTGTGCTACTTAGCTATTGCCTCGGCGGCAGAAAGATCCCAAGGTATGTCTACATGGTGTCAAATAATTTAATTAGCTGTCAATTCAACCCAAAAATTTCCATCACTTGGGCGTGTGTGTACCGATGAGTAGTGAATTATAATTGAATTATCAAAAAATACTTGAGATTATTATATCGAAACAAACACGAGAGTCGTGCCTCCAAAACTAAATATATCTTATCTGAATTGAATCTAGTCTAGTGTAGAACATCTCACGGATTATGCGAGTCACTACTTTTCACATTACGATTTGAATTTTAGGTGGTACCTCGGTGGCCGCGCCCGCGGCACGAGGCATTACAAGATTCCCTGGCAGGATCATAAACAGTATACGATATTTAATGTTTGGAATTTTCACATCGGTTCGACGCTTTTTGCATATCTACTTCAGGGGTCTGGATCGAATCCTTGGTCGGATGGTATTTGGAGGCCTTGCAAGGATTGCACGTCCCTCCGGTGCTCGTGGCTAATGTCGGATGATTCGAATCGTCTGTAGAACAATTTTTTCAAGGGAGCAAAAAAAGAGTGGAAGGGTTGGATGCAAATCAATGTACTTTATCTTGTTTTTATAAAAACAATACTGAAATAAAAAAAATGACACCCTGAATTCTAGCTTAGTCATTGACATGATTGACTAATTCACACTTTACTTTCAAAACTATAGCCGAAAGAGTCTTTCACTTTTTGACTGACGCAATTTTACTGTAATTTTTGATTTTCGGGTTTTACTCTTCTCAATTTCAATTGAGCCGACTGAAATATTCCAGGTATAAAGTTTACTATAAAAATTATTGTCAAGAGAGTATATGTTGTTCGTTGTTCATACTATATACATTTTAAATGATATAATGAAGCGATTAAACAAATAAAAACATTAAATAGTTTCGATTTATAATTGACGAACTAAATGCAATGAAAAATATTTAATCTGATTAAATTCTGTTGAAGTCTATCAAAGCTTCTAGGAATATAATAATACCTAGTAATAAACAAACTAATCTCTTGACGGGGATTTTCGCACATTTTTCTGCAAAAACACGATAACACGTCGCGCATTTTTTTAAATTCATCTCGGAGCGTATTTGACCGGTCACAGCAGCTGATATTCCTCCCTAAAAACTCTGCAGCAGCAAGTACATAACCTCAGCTTGTGTACAAGATAGTGTCTGTCACATCGTGTGTTGTGCATGGAATGACAAATCTGAATCCGACACGTAGTGGTGCGAAGAAATGATGAATTATTATCTTCCGCCACTGCGTGTGTATCGGTGTGGGTAGGCACTTGTTGAATTAGCTGATTTCAAATTGACACAACGGGAGAAGTACACGTAGTTTTAAAAGACGAGTAGAGGAAGAGGAGATAGCGACGAGCCTATATATTCTCATTCACCTTAGACCGGTGGTACAGTAGGTATCTGACGCAAGCACACGGCTAAACGCTTTTTGCGCCTGTCATTCGTATTATCATTTTGACTCGATACAATAACTTTTCAAACAAAATGAGCAAAGACGTAGAAGCTCTGCAAAGTGTGAGTAAATATTTTACCGAGGAAAGCTTGAGGAAAATCGTTGCCGGAGCCGAAAACAAGAGTGAACAAGAAGTGGAAATTTTGTCGTGGAGCTTCGGCGATGCGAGCAACAAAGGCGACAGCTATTTATCTACGGTCGACAGGGTAGTCATTCAAGGGAAAGTCGATGGAAAAGTTGTCGAGACGAGGATTGTCGTCAAGTCTCTGCCTAATAATATTGGAAGAAGGAAAACTTACAGAAGTGCAGAATTTTTCAAGAATGAAATCAATTTTTATGTTGAGGTAAGATCTAAATTATGAAATTTGAAATATATATTTTTGTTTTTTTAATTTATGATTTTAATTAAAATTAAATTTCATAATTTTAGCGGCACAATAAAATTATCCGGCAAATAGGAAAATTGCATCAGAAAAATTAGCTTTCTAATACGAGATAATAATAATAATATATTTTGCCAATTACTCTAGACTAGATTCATTATAGACTTCATTTATTGCGACATATTATTATTCATTTCACACTTTTCTATAGATTGCCACAACATACAAGGAGTTCTTGAAATCTAAAAATCAATCGTCCGTCCTGCTCCTGCCCGATTGCCTGGATTATCACTTGGATGGCAAGGAAGATTTTATTGCTCTCGAGGATGTCAGTCCCCGGGGATTCGGTCCATCATCGAGACAAAATTGTCCCACCTACGATGAATTCGTTAATATTTTAAAGGCCATGGCTCGATTCCATGCAGTTTCCTTTGCGTACAAAGATCAGAACCGTGAACACTTTAAAACTTTAGCAACGTCGCTGTCGGAAACTTATTTCAGGGATGATCTGTACGAAAGCTGGTACAAAAGATTTCATGTAAGTTAATTATCTTTAATTTTTTTGATTATGATAGTAATTTAATGATAACAATGCTTTTTTAAAATTTTTAGGAGCGTCTTATAGAGATAGCTCAAGACGCTTTGGAGAAGGAGTGCTCGGGATCTAAAGCGCAAAAACGCTTCAACTCTTACGCCAAAGGGGAACTTTACAAAAAGAGCGCGGACTTTTGTAACGAGTGGCACGCCGAAACTTCAGTGATTAATCAAGGAGATTCATGGGCACCAAACTTCTTGGTCAGAAACCTTCCAAACGGTCAGATTGAAGTATTAATGCTTGATTTCCAGTTGGCTAGGAGCGCCTCGCCCGTCCTCGATTTATCATTTTTGATGTACTCGTGTACTGAAAAACCATTGAGAGATCAACATTTTGACAACTTGCTGAAAATCTACCACGATGAATTATCGAGAGTTGTATCTTTGCTTGGCTCGGATCCACAAAAGGTGTATTCTTGGGCGACTTTTATGAATGAGGTAATTTATTTTTCGGCATTTTTTTTCTATATAACAACTTTAAATTTATGATTCATTTATTCATTAGGTGCAAGAAAAATTCGTTCACGGTATGACATTTGGTTTGGAATCTGTCGTTTTTAGTATGCTGTCTTCGGATGAGTCGTTTGATTTGGATGTAATCAAAGATGATAAAGTCGATATCGCCGATGTATGGACTGTGCAAAACATCAAGACGTCAGAAAATAGAAAACGATTGACTGATGTGATTTCTCATGCCTTTGAAAAGGGATATTTGTAAATAAATGTAAATACTAAATTTTGATTACAGATAAAAATTATTAATAAGCAATTTGAATGAAAATGTAAGATTAAGAAAAAAATAATATTTTAATGTACGAGCGATAGCCGGAAACTATTTGTGCAATGCTCACTTTTACGAAGAAGTATTTTTTACTTTTGAATATGAAAAGTTACTGATAAAAGTATTATATTACTAAACTTCAGATTTATAATATCTATTTTATTAATTCAATAAAAACTAAGAAAAAATATAAAATTTTCATTTTTATTTGTAAATCGTTTATGGATCAATTTTAAGGGGAAGATTGGGAAGAAGTCGATTGTTGGGCTATCTATTAAGCCGAATACTACGTAAAAATAGTATATTTTTCAAAGAGAATAGAGATAGCTCAAGACGCTCTGGAGAAGGAGTGCTCGGGATCTAAAGCGCAAAAACGTTTTAATTCTTACACTGAAGGGGAACTTTGTAAAAAGAGTTCGACCTTCATCAGAGATTGGCACGGCGAAACTTCCGTGATTAATCATGGAGATGCATGGGCTCCCAACTTTTTGGTCAGAACACTTCCAAACGGTCAGATTGAGGTATTAATGCTCGATTTCCAGTTGGCTAGGAGCGCTCTTCGCCCATTCTCGATTTGTCATTTTTTATGTACTCGTGTACCGAGAAAACATTGAGAGATCGATATTTCGAAAACTGGTTGAAAATGTACCACGATGAATTATCGGGAGTCATCGCTTTGCTTGGCTCGGACCCACAGAAGGTATATTCTTGGGCGACTTTTATGAATGAGGTAATTTTTTTCTTTAGATTTATTCATATTATCTCATAGTTTCAAAATTATGATGCATTCATTCATCAGGTTCAAGAAAAATTTGTTCATGGAGTCACATATAGCCTGGAATCGGTAACTTTTAGTATGCTATCTTCGGATGAGACGTTTTATTTGGATGCAATGAAAGATGAAAAAGTTGACATCGCTGATGTTTTTACATTGAAAAATATCGAGAAGTCAGAGAATAGAAAACGATTGACTGATGTGATTTCGCACGCTGTTGAAAGAGGCTTTTTGTAAATAAGTGCAATTTTAGATTAACGATAAAAATTAGAAATGAGCAATCCAAATGATAATTTACGACGAAAAGATGTAAGAGTAAAAGCTGGAAGATATTAGTAATGCTCTTTTTGTACAAGGAAGTATTTTTTGCATTTGATATGAAAAGTTTCTGTTGAACTATTATATTACCCTACCAGAGATTATTATATATTTTTTAAATCAATAAAAATTAAAATCAAATAGAAAACATTTTGAGAAAAGTCATATTATTTCTGAATATCTAGAGCTTTTTTCTAGAAAAAAAGTTTGAGCTTTTTAAAAAACGCAAGACACAAGAAGAAAATGGACAGAAAAAAACTAATTGTTTTATAATTTTTTTATTGTCACTTTCTTTTTTTTTTAGAAAACATCTATTAAACTCATGTACTTTTAATGGACATTTTCGAATTTTACTTCTCGTTTTTTTTTAAATCTACGAAAGCATCTAATAATAGTTACTATGGATTTTCCATTGAACGTATTCCAGTGCCAGGCATCAACGTGTGCATTTGAAAGAAGTATCGTGTCTCAAAGATTCAAGTGCTGTTTGCTATATTGCTAGTTTTTTTTTTTGTAGATCCTATATTATCGTGATACATAACTATATTTTTTTTATTTCCTCTCCTATTTATATAATATTAATTTTGCACAATAGATCAGCGATGATTCGGAGGCATTTCTCGTTTTTGAAAATGTTTTTTTTTTCTCGCGAAAGTACAAACGCAGATTCATTTTCATATTCTCCCGAGGAGGGAGAGATAGACATGGAGGACGCGGGCAAGCGTGCTAGGCCATGCATGCAACAAAAAATTACAAAAAATATGCTTTTTTTACACTCAATCTAACAATTCTTTATGTACAGGGCAGTTCGTGAAGATTTCATATGCTCGCTCTCTTGACCCATTTATATCACTTAAGGCAGACATCTGTACTGTACAAATGAGTCTTACACACACTTTTTTAGATGCATCAATCGAGGTGGCATTAGATGAACAATAAAAAATTCCGTACGACGGCAACTGTATGGATGGAAAAATATTTTTCCACTGCAAATTATGCTGGATTTCGTTTCATATTCCAAAAATTAATGAAGTAGATGATAGTGACGTTGAGAAAATTGCGAATGAAAGAGGCATATAACACTTAAGTAGCTTGTTTAAACATCAAATATCACACAAATGACATCATTCATTTTTTTTTTTTTTTTTTCATTTTAAAACATATTGATTTATTTTCTATACAGGATGTTGTTATTTTTTTTAGCAAAACGACTATTTATTCACGATTAACAACTTATAATTTAGCAACAGTAACAATTATGTTTCACCATCGGCTGGTTATCATATAAATTTTGAATCGAAAATTTGTTAAAAGCTGTTTTTTTTTTTTATTTTTCTTCTCGTACAATCGTAAGAGCGAGGGAAACATTATACATTAGTCTTGGTTTGATAGATCGATTGCTTTTTTTTTCTACGTTACTTATAGATTTGAATCTAAATCTTACAATAGCTGCAGGCTTTTCGGCAACTGAAATTTCATTTATACTTTTTATATTTTTACTCGTATTTATGATAATGTTTATTTTCCGACCTTGAGTACTCATTTATTTCTTTTAACGTTGTTCAAAAATATTAATTGACATAATTCGTGTGTAATTTCATTTTTAGATCTTACTTTGCGCTTTTCTGGACAATGGGAAAAGAAGAAGAAAAATATCGTAACGAACTCTAGGAAAGATTACAAATTTATACACAATTAATTATAAGCACCATTTATTCAGTCGACGTTGAAAAACCTGCTGCTTCAAAGATGGGTCGATCGCGTGTTCGTTCGTTCGTTCATTCGCGCAAAGACTTTTTATGCGAAATCATACGAATTTTTTTTTTTTTTCAATATTCATTTGGCTAAGTTTCGTTGTTTCGTTGCGTATTATTTATTATTACTACAGCTTTTCGGATAAATCCTCCCGCGCGGATGCGTGTTTCCAAGGCGTGCGGCCGCACCGCAGAAAACATTATTCTTGGCTTTTCATCGTTTAATTTTCTTTTGATTGTGATTTACTCGTCCGCTTGGCTCTAAACATCTTACAGACACAGGCACAAACACACTCACACACTCACGCACTCAGTCACAGTCGAGTACACGACGAGAAATACCGTAGTCGTGTTTTTTTTTTTAGCAAAATTCTAGCTACAGTTTTCCTCGCCGCGTACTTTCATCACCGAAGAATAAAAAAAAAGCGTTTAACGGAGCTGATGCTGCTGCTGCTGATGCGGTCGCGACTAGTGATTCATTCGGCGCATCGATTCCATAGCCGCGATATCCTCGACAGATATGAGCTGCTCGATGGGTATGCAGGAGAGCTCGCCGCCCACGCAGGCCTGCTGCTGTTGCCATCTCGCCTCTCGCTCGGCTTCCTTCGCCTTGATCTCCGCTTCCCTGGCTCTCCTCTCCTAGAAATTCGGGGGTAAATATCGCATTAAATTTAACTCTATACTCATGCCGAGCATAGCGTACCTTGAGCTTGAGAGAAAATATTGCTACGGAGCGAGCCCTCTTCATCAGGCTCTGCTTGACCCTCGTCTTTTTGGCCTCTCGCTCCTCTTTGGCTTTCTCGTCGTCCTGACTCGATGTCCTTCGACTCGATTCGCCGCCGGCCGATGTACTCTGGCTCGTCGAAGCGGCAGCAGCAGCAGCGGCGGCCGATGCAGCGGCGTGCGCCACCGCCTCCTTTTCTCGCTCCCGCTCGCGATGCTCGGCCACCGAGTCTCGATGCTGCTGGTACTGTTGCATCGGTGTCAGCTGCTGCGATTGCTGCTGCTTCTCTTTCTCGCGAGACCTCGGCTCTCGCTCCGGCGACGAGCGATACTTTTGCTGATTCTTGGCGTTGGGCGTCCAGGGCGGTATGGACCTGCGACGAGTACACACGTTTTATTTATTACTCGGTAAAATCGAGCGATCGATATGCGAATAGGATCCGAACCGTAACTCGTAACGCATTTCGCTGTCCGACGAGCCGGCCAGATCCTTGGAGACGATGCAGTCCGTCGAGCGGTGAAACGCCATCTCGTCGCCGCTGTTGCTGCCGGATATGATCTCGGAGTCGCTGGATTTCCGGCCGCCTCCGCTCTCCAGGCCTAGTCTGCGTATCCAGTCGACGCCGCCGCTTGGACCGATGGTCAGGTGATGGCTGTACTCGCCGCTGCCCGACGACTCCTGCTCGCTCGCCAGCCACTCCCTCGACCTTCTCCCTGCGACATTATTACTTATGAATAAAGTAATGAGCTCGCTTATTGGTTTTGTTGATCCCACTGACATATAAGATCGTTCGTTCATAAGTATGTGAACATTTCTGTATGTATTTTTTAAGCCCAGTCTGACAGATGTTCATTTATTAATAAATGAAAATGTAATTTATAATGCCAAAATATTGACCCCCAATAATTTATTAATATCCCTGCTGAGAAAAATCATGGGAAAAATGATATGATTTTTTATATGATTTATCATATGATTTTTCCTAGCAAAGGAGACAAACCCTTATTTTTATATAAAAACCATTAGAAAAAAGTGCAAAAATATAATTTAAAGTCTGAATTTATTAATGTCATTGAAAATGAAGAAACTACTTTTGAGAATAGCTAAAAAAATGTACATTTACAGCACAACAAATTGGATAATTTTAAAGAGTTTGAAGTGAATTATAAAACTACCGAACTGTTGAATCATCAAACTGCCTGATTTTGTACCGTTTTGTAAAAGGTTAGCATCGATATTTTCTCGATGATAAGATAGCATAGTTATATCTGAATTTTTATGCCTACTACTTTTATAATTTTCTTCAAACTCTTTCAAATCATTCAAATTTTCAAAAGTAGTTTCTTCATTTTCAATGACATGAATAAATTCAGACTATAAATTATATCTTGCCACTACCTTTTAATGGTTTTTATATTAAAATAAGGGTTTGCTTCCCTTGCTGGGAAAATCATATGATAAATCACGCCAAAACATCATAAGATTTTTTTCAGCCGGGATCAATCTAATTTTTTTCAATTAATTTTGAGAAACCAATAAAAAAATGGATTTTTTTGTCGGACTGGAAAATCGGTAAATAAATTTTGTCAGACAAGGTCAAATAATCATTGCAAATGTTATTCTTAACATTTACTGAAAAAATTAGATTGATATTTTATATCATTTTTTGAGGTAATTATTCTGGAAATATTTATCAATGAAAAGCCATGGTTGATAAAAAACTTTTTAGCGAGTATCCCTCAGAGTGGGTCCAATAAATATACATTCAGAAATTTACAGATTGAACACGAGTGTAAATTACCTCTCTCGCCACCCGGTATGCTACCCCTTGGCAAATTGCTGATATCCCTGGTGGTCGTCGCCGCGGCCTCGGCCAAGAAGGTGCTGCTGTGATCGCTGCCGCTGCCCGTGCTACCCGGCGTCTGCGGCGTCGACGTCTCGGTTATCCTCGGCACCTGATGATGGCTGGCGGCAGCCCCAGCCGCAGCCGCGGGTGTACCCGCTGCGCTCGAGCTGGTCGAGAACAGGGTCGGCGTGCCCGGCTGACTGGACTGCATCGCGCGATAGGCCGCCCGGGCGCTCGCCAACTCCTGCTGGGCCTGCTGCCTGAGCCTGAGCTCCTCCTGGCTGCTGCTGGCCATGGTGCCGCTGGCGCTGGACGAGGACGTGGCTCCACCGCCGCTGCCACCACCAGCTGCTGCGGCACGCACCACGAATCTCCCTGAGTTAAACTCGACTTCAGTTCGAGGGGGCGGTGGGTCACGGGTGATGGGATACGATTCGTTTACGGGAGATGATTGGATATGCGCACACACACGCGTTTGCGGATTATCGCTCGATTTTTGCACACAGCGCAACGCGTGCGATTCGTGACGCGTGCGGATAGTTTTTAAGCGTGCGAAGCATCATATCCATGCTGCTGCAGCGCCTCTTTTTTTTTCTCTCTTTTTCATCTCTCGATGTATACTGGTTAACCGCACAGATGTGCGTTCATGGCCATCCAATAGTTTCTTTTTTTTTTCTTTTTTTAGCTTTGTTGCATTTTTTGGCAAACGCAAACGGAAAATATGGGATAAAAGAATGAGAGGTATGAGTGTGATAGTGGAGCAGAGCAATGATATATATAGATGTAATAGATGGAATTGGTCAAATTGAATCTTAATGAATTAACTATTCGTGGTGGAAGTGCTCAACATCGACAATGCATGGACATATTGTTTTAAAATACAGTGTCATTGATAGACTTGCTTTTAGAGATTTTTCTGTTACATTAATGTTCAAAATATTAAACCCATAAAAAATATTTTGAAAATGACAATTTAATTGTTTCAAGAAATTTAGGTCAGCTTTCAAACACTTTTGATACAAATACACTGTTGACTACTTTAAGCCTCCACCGCTAGATGGCGAGTACCTTATTTTTTGTAAATCTGCAAGTGGCTAAATTCAAATAAGTGTATAAGTCGAAGCGCGGTTTTTAAAAAATTAAGTAGAATGTGTAACGCAGTTTTTCAAGCACAAACGATAATGTAGTTAAACCTTAAATTAATAAATTCTACGTCATGAACGTTTTACATTCCCCATGTAGAAATTGAATAATATCTACCGAAGAAGTGCTTAAATGATATTTGCACAAATTTTATGAAGTCAAACGAAAACCAGCCATTAAATGACAAAAAAGCATTGTACGTCCAATAAACGTTAAACTTTTCTTGTGCGTGTCTAGCTCTAATGACGCTCGTACGTTCGAGAAACTTTTTCTTTGGTCAAAAACTCGCCAAAAATGTTGAGCACTTCTACTCGATGACGATAAAATTCTTCCAAAACATTGACAAAAATAAATCCTTGCACTTCTCTTCTCAACTGACAATTAAATGATCAAAAAAAAATTGTCGAAAAATCGTACAGCTATAAGCTAAAAAAAATCAAAAATCGACGAAGCTCGTCACGGTGCCAGAGGACAGGTCCGCGATCTCGATGATCACGAGATACGCGCGCTCCATCGAACAACGTACCTATGACCGTGGAGGCGTGATGATCCGACGGCGAGGGTGTCGTCGACAGTCTCCTGACGGCCTCGCGTCGCAAAAACTCCACCTTGGCCATCTCGGTGGCCACCCAGCTCGGTATGTCCGGGATCGCGCAGTTGATGACGAAGCGCAGCGCCAGCATGATGTGCTCGAGCGCGACTATCAGCAGTATCGTCTGGGTGGCCGACATCTCCGGGAACATTCGCTGGACCTGGCCGCTGAGACCGATCAGGGCGCAGTTCACCAGTATGGCCACGAGACCCATCGCCTCCATGGCGTTCTGAATGTACGATGAGACGAAAAAAAAAGGTTTTATCGATTCGTTGCCATCTGTCGTACATTTTAATAATAACATCGAGCTACGTACCTGCCAAGTTCCGATATTGGACACTCTGCGTCCGAAGGGCCGCTGCAGGACGAAGCACAGCTTGAAGGCGTCGCCGCGCAGCTCCAGCAGATTTCCCATCAGCGCGCAGAGCGCCGCGAGCGGAAAGGCCGAGGAGAACAGGCAGACGTAGCCGAGCTGAGACAGCATTTCCAGGTGCTCCGAGAAGGCGCCGTCGTACTGCAAAGACGGAATTTTCTTTCTCTACAGAGCCGAATGTGGTCTGTCGCGCTGGGTGGTGGTGCATCTCGCGCGAATCAAAATGTCGACTAGTATCATGGTTTTTCAGCATTTTACGTTTATCCAGTCAACATTTTTCATCGCGTTCGATCGTTTTGTTATTGTTTTTGGTGCAATTATATTAAAAAACATCTATGCATAAAGCAAACTAATTATAATCGTGTTATTAAAGAATTGAAGAATAAAAATTTTTCGGGGGTATCGTAATATAAACTCTCTTAAATAATCGACAGGATAAAAAAAAAGTAATCGAGGATGAGCGTGTGTGACATTACCTTTCTGAATGGTACCTGTGCTTCGACGATGGGAGAGAGAGAGAGAATGATGAAAAACGATAAAATTATTTAAATCTGCAAAAATGATCGATCAAAAAACAGAAAAAAGTAAAAAACACAATTCGAACAGACGAACATAAATGTATATAAAAAATCGTGGAAAAAGCAAATAAAAAAGTTCACTAACGAACAACATCATGCTCCATAACTTTCTGCAGCCAACGAAAATTTTTTCAACAAATCGACCTCTCAAACCAAAGACCTGCTTTTCAAAATAAAAACAAAAATGCAATCAATTTTTTGTTGTTGTCGTAAGATAATATACTCACATTAACAAACAATACAGCTAGGATAAGTGAGGTAATAATAATAATAATAACAAAAAAAAAGTTCAACGAGTCCAGCTAAGTACTCGGTGTTGAACAAAAAAAAATCTATATAAAGACGGCGGCGCGCGTGAGACAACACAGACGGCGACTCGAAAGAGGAGATTATACTAAAAAAAAAAGACAAAAAGAAAGATCGGCTAATTCTAGATCAAACCTTGAAAGCAACGTCACTAAGTAGAGAATTAGTAGGGTGTCCTACTCTGTAGAGCGAACTCTCGAGTTCAGCTTGGCTAATGTTTCGTTGCTTGGCTACCCTCGGATGATCCTTGTCGTCCTCGGCGGCAGCCGCAGCAGCAGCGGCGACGGTCTCGTCCTCGTCCTTCGAGACATTGACCGGTGCTGCCGCCGCTTCGCCGGGCAGTTGTTGTCGGGCCTCGCTCGGGCTCAGCGCGCCGAACATCTCGAAGCTCAGGCGGGCCAGTCGCAGCTGCTCGATGAGGTAAGGCACCGCCGACTCCTTGAGATTGCCGATCACTTGACGCGCTATCAATAGAGCTGCCAATTGCTGAAAAGTGGACAAGTGAAAATTTATCCATTTTCGGAGTAAGGTAAATACTTGTGAAATATTAATGTTAAATCAATGTCATACCTCTTTGAGTCTTTCGGTGTCTTGGATATAAAACGCAATGTAAAATAACGATAGAAAAGAGTTGACGAACTGAAACTGCAACGAAAGCAAATGAGTATCCATTAGACGTTTTCTAAATTCTTTAATTTTGTAACCGCGTGGAAATAAAAGCACACACGTATTTAACGAGCTTTAGAAAGAAAATATGTGATATCGTACATATAGATATAGCCAAGCGGACTTCAATTTGCAATGTTAACGCATCGAGGCGGGTTACATAATAGCCTCAGTAGTATTTGCACTTGGTCTACTACCGTTGAACCTAAGCATGACCTCTTAAGTGAAGCAGCTATTACTTAACAATTCCAGTGTGTGTGATCAACTTGGCTATTTCAGTGATCAATAATAAGCTGCGCACGTAATGTATGAGCCGCATAGTGTGCTTGAGTACAACAGCGGTTCGTGCGCCAGGTAAACACGCGCTCACTCACACAAACGCTCACGTATACATGCGATGCAATTTAACGTGCATTGGTGTTTGAGCACAGTTTGAATAAATTATTAGAACTATCGGTGAAACGTTGAAAGATGATCAATTGAATTTTGAATGAACCGCTGCTGTTTATATATATAAAGCGTGTTTAAAGCGCAAAGCACAGTATATAGTCGAAGAGAGAGAGAGGAAGAGAGATAGAGGGTATAAGGGTAGAGTGGAAGTTTATATTCACAGTTGAATTTTCAAAAGCGAATAATTAGACACGACGATGGATTGCAAAGCGTTAAATATACACATTAAATTACACTGCTCTAAAGTCTGCATTATTCAATCGACTAAAAACGGACACAAACAAATTGTAATTTTTGTCTATACAGCGCGCGGAGATTAGTCGCAACGAACACAACGGTATACATCATTACGTGCCTGAATTTCAACGACTCCGACACAACAAACTCATTTACGCTTTTATTGCCGGTATAATAAATTACACGGGGTATATAATATATTACGAGTTGTAAGTGTAATTATGCCATGCAATAAACCAAAGGATGATTTATACATACAATTATTATACATATGGACAGACAAAAAAACTGTAAGAAAATCATTGTATTACCAGTGCCACTTTGCAGATCAGATGGTTCTCGTACTCAGTGTCAAGGCGATAATTTTCTGTACCCAACAGAGACGGTAATGAATCATAGATTACATTTCTACTTTATAGAGATGCAATGTCATAAATTGTTTAAAGAATAAGGGGCGGGGTGGACTAATTTTTTTTGAGCAACTGTAAATTTTGTTTTTTTTTTATTTTTTATCAATAAATTAATTTCGATCTAAGTAAAGCTAATGTATATGTGAATATAAAAAACTTTTAACAATGCTACAATGATAGATCTCTAAAACGTGCACAGATAAAAAAAATGTTATGTACAAAATTGAAACTATCATTGAGTCTTTGATACGAAAATCTGGATTGATTTTCGAGTAAACGGAAAAAATAAAACGATATCAAAGTGCAATTTTCGCCTCTTTTTTTTCAAAAGCATCTGCGTCTAGTATATAATGTAATAAAAAAGAAACCGAGTAAAGTGTAAAAGAAACCTAATGCAGGAGAAAAGAGGCGGTATTACGGCATATCGAGTTTATATGCAGTAAGTAAGTTCGAAATAGTATATAGTGCCCGGACAAGTGTGAAATTGGGTTTTGGAGAAGATAGCATAATAGAAGATATCTTGGAACAGTGGTAAAAAAAAAATAAAATAAAGTGTCGAGTATAAAAAAAAGATCGTCCGGTCGCACGAGCACACACAGACACACACATACACGAACTCACCCAGATCGTTGAGCCAGACGGCCACTTTGAAGTAAGCCTCGTCCATCAGGGCGATGACGATGGCCAGCAGGACCTTGGGCACGTAGCTCAGCCAGAAGCCGTAACCGGCGGCCTCGAGACGCGCGTCCCACCAGTCCTATTATCATTGTGTATTTATACACATAAGTGGCATTTATCGAGTTTTTTGTTGTTGTTGTTGTTGTTGTTGTTTTACCTGAATTTGAAAACTGACGAACATGACGAGAAAGACGAGAAACAGACAGACCGCGATGATGGGCCCGCTGACGAAGTAGCGAAAGACGTTCCTCTTCCAGCTGGGATATGTTTGCTCGGGCTTGCCGGTCACCGGTGATATCTCCCAAGTCCCCTGATCGAAAGCACATCGAATTATATAAAATGTCACGACGCGCGACAGCTGAGCGTCTCGTTCGTATAATATCACGTCGAGCGCGAGGATCATCCGCAGATTTCCGCTTACCGTAAAAAGTGGCCTCGGCTCGACGAGCAGATCATCCCTCTGATCGAGCGTGCCCCATCTGTAAGCGAGCTCCGCCCCCCGTCGCTTCCACGTCTCCAGATAGACCGTCGCCCATATCACATTGAAAATCGAGAACAGCACGTAGGCCACGTCCTCCACCGCCTGATTCCTGCCGATGATGCCGACCTGAACGACGACAATAAATATTTCATTTAGAAAATTCGTTGCATTCGTTGCTGTTGTTGTTGTTGTTGTTGTTGTTGTTGTTGTTTTTAATCAAGTCATTGCCGAGCAATAGCGACGACATCAAGCTATATACACGTATAAAAACTGAAGAGAAAACGAATCGATTTATCGATTGCCGTCGTTGTGGCGCGCGATATACTGCACTTTCGGATATTTATGTGTGCGTATTGGTTTTACCGATAACAGCCAGCGAAAACAAAGGCATATCTTCGGTAAAACTACATAGACGCGAATGAAATGTGCAGCTGGTCGCAATTTATAAACGAGAGCTGTATACATCTGCAGAAGAAGGAGAAGAAGAGGAAGAGTATAGCGAAGGACTCACCCAGTATATGACACCCACCGCGGCTGGAACAATGAGGGCGGTAGTGTAGTGGCCCAGCCACGCGAAGTACATCGTGATCTTGACGCCAAAGTACCTGGCTATGTCGTCGAGGGGCTGGGGACTGAGAAACGCTCTTACCCACGAGCGCTGAAGCTTCTCCAGCGCCGGCAACTCGTGCAGCGGGAAGACCTTAAGAGAGAAAGAGAGAATTTTCAAACGTTTATTCGAATTGTTTTACGTAAATGTAACCGAGTGAATGTTTTTTATTCTCTCTCTTTCGCGAGCTTTTATCCCCGAGAAAAATAGTCGCTTTAAGGCACAGTCAACGCGTTATGTACCCGTTAGATAGCAGCCACTCTAGCGAGTTAGATGTTGCGAAGTCAATAATGGTCAAAGTAATGCGCCTTCGACGTTGAAATATCGACAGCGCGTTTCTCCGCACAACGTCGATGGTGGTATTAAACTCTAAGCGACTTTCGAAAACACTTGTCGGTATATATAGATAGAATGCCTTTTCTCTCTCGCGGTGGTTCGAATAAATTTGAAAAAGAAAATAAAAGAATATGCTCTATAACCTGTGAGATGATGCCAGCGGACAGGCATTTGGGTATGATGGCCTGTCCGTCGACGAGCTTGAGACCCGGCAGACTGTCGTGCGGACCGGCCCTCAGCGTGTGAAGAAGATGCAGCACCAGCGACTGGCGCTCCTGCGTCGTGAAGAAGGCCGCGGCGTCGTCGCTGCCCTCGTAGCACTTGGCCTCCGTACCGACGAACTCCTTGAGGCCGCCGCCGTACTCCTGCTGCAGTCGCTTCGGCAGGTGCACCTCCTCGGCCGCTTTGAGTAAACTGCGAGAGAGAGGAAAGGATTGAAAAAATGCGATTTATAAGCGTAAATTAAATTTTAACTCACGTCGAGAACGGAGCCGTCAGGTAGAAACCGTAGCTGTCGGACGAGGCGTGGTGTCGCACGTGAACCACGAGCCCGGGACTGCCAGCTCGCAGTCGGCCGAGAAGCCACATCAAAGTTTCCTCGTTGCTGCCGCTCGGAAACATCATCACCACGTCGCATTCCTGTGGGATGGCGCAAATTCGCGAAGATGATTAATACAATTTGTGTGTTCGACGCGTGCGATCGGATTATTCGCTCTAAGAAATCGTATCGTTTTATACGTTTACTCATTTCAAAGTATTTCAATCGGACACTTTTTTCTCTTTTCAAGCAGAAAAAGAAAAATGTCCGTAATTGCGCGGAGCTTACGAGATCGCTATGAAAGAATTCAATTAGTCCCAAGGCTCAGGGCGCGAGTACATGGGGAACGTTAAAAGGTCGTATAATTGACGCCTGGGCTCAGAGTTGAAAGGCACGAACAAGTGGGAGTTTCATGGAGTTGGAACGTATAATAGGAATGAAACAAAAATTAAACAAAAAAGACTTTTAACTGAAATACTCTGATAGAAACACTCAACATTTTATGGGGACCCTATTCTTATAAATAATATCTTATTTCATAACTTTTCTCTAACTTATACAATTATTTCAACTTTGCCACTTGCAGATTTATAGATAAAATGGCTCTCGCCATCTAGTGGTAGAAAGTAGTATTAAAAACGATCTAAATTTTTTTGAACGATTATTAAGGTGGCTCATCAGTAAAACGGGTCAACAACAGATGGTTATAGAACTTGGCAGAAATTTCATTTAAAGTGCCCTGTATGTGTTGTCAAAATTTCAGCATGGGTTACCGAACTAATTTTTGAGAACGAAGCCGTTGAAAATAGAAAATTTAACATGGGCTGTTATGGGAAGCCATCATAATTTCATACATTTTACGCCGTATATCTTTTTTATTGAACAACTGATCTTAACCAAAAACGAATATGTTATGCTTCGAGTCACTAACTTTCGATTGGTATGTTAAAAATTACCCCTTAAAGTACTAACTAATGAGTAATAAAACAAAATGTGATAAAATCATTGATTTCGAATAGTGCAAGCGGTTGCCTGCCTAATGCGAGAAAGAGACAGACAGACGCCTTGGTGTACTATTGTTATATGATTGCTGACGAGCCACGCTTAAATTATCATTTTCAGGTTCTTTAAAATGCGCCGAATAATTGTAACATAATTGTATCAGCAAATTCTTCGAAAACAAGCCAATTAATGATCATGTACTTTAAAACGTTATAAATGATCATTTTTTGGTCACTAGACCATGGTTAATGTTGAGCATTTTTATCAGGTCATATTGATGCATTTGATTCCCGATATCACTACCGTCGTCGTTTTTTTTTCGTCCCTCATTGATTATTCCTGCGCTGCACCGGTCCGTCATATTTTTACTCCAAACGACGATCCATTACACATGTACACGGTCTCCCACGCATCTCTGAATTATTCAAACGTCGAAATGAATCGAAATGAGCGTGGGGAGATATAATCGTAACGTATCATACATTTCTTTCCAACCGCAGAAAATATGCAAAGATTAGCTATACTTTTAAGTGGGCGGTTATTACGCGATAACGAGCAAGCCCTTATTTTTGTTCGTCCGCGTAATTAGTGTCACTTAAAAAAAAAAAAAAAAAATCCGCGCGTGCACAATATCGAACGAATGACCCGGTCACGTATGAAAGGGATGCGTGACGATGATGATAATGAAGCCGGTACGTTATAATACAGACAAAAGAAATCCCCGCTCGAAAATCACCGGATGCAGAGATTGTGCGCGCGCGCGAATCAGTGCTATAATAAAAAAAGACCGCGTTAAAAAATATCGTATTCCTACCGCACGGAGAAAAGAAAAACAGAAGAAAAATATTCCTGCAAGCTCGAGCTTGCCGCTGCTGCCGCTGCTATCCGATACGCCGAATTCTCGAATTCCGCACTACCAACAGACTGTGCTCATGTGCACACGATGATGATGCGCAGGGGAGCGATCGTGTGCTAGGCTAGGCTAGGCTAGGCAGTAGCAGCACTGCTTTTTTTTCGCTCAAGGATTCGCCCGAGCTTTGTTCCGACTCTCTCGGCAGCTTGGCAATTCGTCCGCACGCGCGCACACGTTCTTATATAACACGTATGTATGTGTGTGTGTGTGCATTATTATAATCGCGGCGAGCACACGGTAGCCGAGGTTCGGTTTATAGCTATATATCTTACACATTGCTGCTTTATATATATACGAGCTCGCACGGAATGGAAGGAATTCAGCTGGCAGAGAGGACTGCGAGAGGTATATGTATGGCCAAGGAATAGAGATGAATAGCTCGATAGATAGCACGACTACGAGGCCTCCGAGGGGATCGCCTGGCGATCGTCCAAATTGCGACGAGAGCCTGGTACTACTGCTACTGCACCTATACAATTCCGCCGCCGCCGCCGCCCCCACGCATGGCAGCACGAGAGGGGCCTACATAGTTAACGTGTGTGTCTGTGCGAGGCTGTGCGTATCTTCTATATACACACACACGTGCCTGCGATGCAGAAGGCGCGCGCGTGCGACACGTCTGACCTACTCGCTGGACTTACTACTTGCTGCCAGGCGCGCGTGCCGTAGTACGTATACGTACGATGGGTTGCCGTCCAACAGGCGCGCGTTGTTGAACGTTGTTTATTTTTCGTAGCTCCTGGATTTATAACCGAGCTGTGTGAGTGAGTGTATGTATTTTCGCGCAGCTGTGGCCACACGATGTATATTTATACGAGGACACTTGGTTGCTCCGGTTTATGTAAGAGAGAGAGAGAGAGAGAGGAGAGATCGTTGGGATAACTATACGTATCGCGATAAACACCTCGACTGTACTACCGCGCGCACTACGTAATATTATCTGTGAATCTGTTTTCAACGTTCATATAGATACTACTGACCCATTGTAGTTTGTGTGTGTGTGTGTATATAATCATAATACGCGAACCACGTGCGCACCTCGCTGCGAAACGAGTTAATTTATGCCACTACACACCGGCTTCTGTGTGTTTTTAATGAATCGTATATAAGATCCGTGTGTATTCGCTGTGGATTCGCGCTCGAGTTCATTATGTACACGACGGCAGCTGATTGTGTGTGTGTGTGTGTGGCACGTGCGCGCAGCTCACGCTCGTTTGAAAGGAAGCACTGAATCGTAAGTTCAAACTTTAGTTGCAACTGCATAAATGTATGATATATGCCAGTGAGCACGCGGCTCGTTAGTTTCTCTCTCTCTCTGCGTTCTGCGAGAAGAATGAATTTTAGAAGTTGTGCGTTATTGTAATAATGCATATCGTTCATACGTATTCTAGATTAAAGGTAAATAATACAGAGTCAGTCGAGAGAGAGAGCTGCAGGCTGCTTAACTTTGGATGATATAACGTCTCGTTGAAGGATCGAGACGACGATAGCTTCGTTCTATTTACACAGTTTTCGTGTAAAAATAAATCCGAAACGATGTATAAAAAAAAGGACGATACGCGTCGCTTACACACGGTCAGTAAAAAACCTGCTGGGCTCGTAAAAAAGTAAAAAGATAAAGAACCAATAATAAAATTGACCGATAAAATTGTGCCCGGCGTACATACGTAACTTGGTCGCACATGTATTTTTACTCGCAAGCAAGAGACATACACGCGGAGCGAGATATAAACTATGTGTCAACTCGTCTTCTCGATCGAGAGAGAGAGAGATCGGAATAACGTCAACCGTCAGAATCCAATTTATCAAATATTACGAATTCCCGTGCTACATCGGAGTTTAACTTAATTTGTCTCGCGGCGAATTGGAAGAGAAGTACCTTATCGATGAATGCGCGGCCAAAAGTTTCGAAATATAACCCGTCGATCGACGTGGCGTTGGACAGACAACGATCGAATTCAGGACGATATAACGCAATGAAACATTCGGCAAATTGCGAGTAAATATAAATGTTAAAACTTTTCCCCGCTGATCCGGTTTCTCGTTTTATACTCCAAATTGGATGGGAAAATAATCAGTGAACAACAACGAAAATTTCGAGCGTGGATCGATACAATAATGACGCGCGATTCATCGATACTGCATCCAATACATAGCATATATCGAAATTCACGTATTTCCGTATACAAGTCGCGTAGGCGCGTGCGGGTGCCGCCGCACAAAGTTTATATCTTTCTCTTCCTGTTTCTCTCTCTTTCTCTCTCATGCTCGTTTATACTTCGGCATGCATATAGTATCGTGTGTGTGTGTGTGAGAGAAAGAGAATTTATATACGCCACCCGTTGTTATATATGCCGAAAATAGATTTTCGCGCTTGGGCTTTTCGGGGGGGATGAAAAAGTTTGATTAAACTTTCGGGCTCGGCCCGGGCGGGCGAGGCACGAGGTTAATTCGATGCAAACGATACACGAATGCACAAAAGCTCCGCTGCGCCTATGCTAATCGCGTATACACTATATGTAGGTGGTTGTCCGGATAGTTGCTGCCTTCAGCTGAGTTATTATATGTAAAAGAAAACACAGGCATGCCTGTCAACGATATATACAGTATAGCAGAGAGTTTAGAAAAAACAATTTTTTTCATATTTTGTTTTTTTTTTTTTTTTGATAAGTTATTTAAATGCTAATGGAGCTCTCGAGACCGGAGCATATTTCACTTTTCTTTCATGAGTTTCTTTCTGGTTTTTGCACGAGATGAGAATCTATTATGCACTGCGGAGAGTTTACCGACGAGACGTCACAAACATACACCCATACACGCACTCGTTGTCGATATAATATATACCACAAATGTCGTTACTTAATTAACGCAATACTGTTCGAGTTTATCTACCGCTCGACTAAATTATTATTGCTATTTACTTGTATGTGTTATTTCGATGGTCATTAAAATAGGTCACGCGTACACGCGGGTAATTACATTAAACAAAAGCAGCGGCAGCAGATATGATAATTTCCGCAGTGACGTTGTATGTATCGTCGAGTCCGGGGCAACGTTCATATATATTCACGGTTCAAGGAATATATAATGCATTAATATTATTTCAACGTGTGCGCGCGCGCCCACGTGTGCAATGTGCCTTTTTTTCGGGGCGCGGGCGCGCGAGCTTTTACATTATGTACCGGACGGAGAGCTTTATCGCATCGATATTATTAACGGATTACGTAGTCGAGCGGCGATGAAATATTACCGAGCAGTATATGTGCAGTGTACGTATACGTTTGAGCTGGCCGAATCGATACGTATTAAATTTTCGTAGCTTACAAGCGCCAGGACGTAAAAGGGCGCACTGCACACACGCACGCATGCTCTCGGCACACAGGATCGGATTATCAAAGTCGAACTTTTTTTTTATTATTTTTATTATTTTTTTTTTTACTCCCTTTACGAGGCAAAAGAAGAGATCGATACGGGCTATTACTGGGGGGTACTTTCTTGGGAACTTTTTATTAATACAAAAAAAAAAAACTGTATACGTATATATAAAAACTTACTTGAGTTGGAACTTTTTGTATCCACAGGCGGCGAGGGGTCATCAGGTGGCCCGTGCATGGTATCTTTCGACGCAGTAGGCGCGACGCTGCAACGAACGAAACAAAATAAACACATCAATATGATGTTTTTATACAATTTAGTTTAATTACATAATAATATATCGTGCAGTGTTATAAAATAATCGTGATATAATTATTTCAACGCGCGGGTAAGTAGCTGACTGCGCGTTATCTGCGTCATGAATCATTGGCTTGAATCGCATAATGAGATCTCCGATGCCGCCTGCCTGCAAAGCCAATACTCGGTGCCAACTTTCTCGGCTCATCCCCCGCAATATTGACCAATGTTTTTTCTCACTTCTTTCTTTCTATCTTTTTTTTTTGCTCGGTATAGGTACGAGATTTCGCAATTCGAAATTCCACAGTATTATTATTGTTATACCTATATACACGCTCGTCGAGTCGCGTCGCTTCCTTTATTCTACTATCCTCCGAAAGGGAAGGTTCTCTCTTTCTCACCGAGTAGTATGCGCCATGTGTGTGTCTGTGTGTAAGTGTGTATGTGTAAGAGTGCAGCTCGGAGTTCGGGTTCGTTCTTCGACCCCGTTTTTATCGAACGACCTCGATTGCTCGGCCAACTGAAATATCGAGTGATATTTCCGTCGCGGCGCGGCAGAAAAATATATATAAGTCGATGTGTCGCCGAGCTGATAGCTGCAGCAGCAGCAGCAGCGGCGGCTCGTGTGTGTACCCAACCGAACGCGCGCCCGCCTTGGCTCGTCTAGAACGACTGTAAAAGGGCCCCCGTCGCCGCCGTCGCTTCGAGGAGTGTAGTAGTCGCTCGTCGGGTGAGAAGAATAGAGGAAGCAAAAAAAAAAAGAAAAGAGCCTCGTTTCTGCTCGATTTACGAGCTACTTGTATACCTACACACACGACGACGACGACGATGATGATAATCACGCGATATTATCATCGTATACACGTTTAATTTATTCACGGTTAAGTACGACATTAAAATTAGATAATTCAATGTCGTCGTGCTCGCGAAAGCATAATAAAGGGATAATGTACACTTTTTTTTTATATATATCGCACATCGTTAGTAACGAGAATAAATTTAACTTATACTTGTATTATTTTTTCTTATTTATGGATATAACGCGTGTCACCAGCGTGCGGAAGGTATTTAAAATTGCAAAAGGACGTATATATACCCTTTATAGACTCGTGCATTTTAGAATAAAAAAAAATTTCTTTATGTAATCCATTTGACTTTTATTATTATCCACGTACATACACGGCCGAACGCGAAGGGAAAATAATGGAATACGTTGGAAGGCGCCAGCTTTCAGCGTACATAGCAAAAAGTTACACACACGTCACGGATTTCCATCATCAAAGAATATTTTTCTTTTATGCTCAACGTGTATGCCTGCGCACACACACACGAAAGCTCCTACAACTACTTTTAGAAGAGCGAAGTTACCTTGGAAATAACACATGGTAACATCGTGTAGTTTTACATCTAAAGCTCGCTGCTGCTTCTCCAATATCCACTAAAATGCTGTTTGCCCTGCCACCGCGTTCGTGCTCGCGCACAAGGTCGATGCGCGCGCGAAAGGATAAAATTTGCCGGGGATAAAATCAGCGCGGGTCGAATTCTATAAAATATGTATTTGTATTAAAAAGTCGTAACGTTATTACATAATATGGAAATCGGGGATGAAGCTGGCGGAAGAAGCGCGTGTACGCGGTTGGAATAATAATAATGATAATGAAAAAAAAAGGGAAGAAATTCCGACGCACCAACCCAATCGCGTGAATACATTTCCGATTACGAGATAGCTAAGGAAAATGTGTAGCAGTAGTAGTAGGTATAGGTAGAGGTATTATATACAATCGAAACGTGATTTGGCGTCTCGCGATAGTTGCAAAAGTATCTCTAAGATCTGAATAGCTTGGCTTCGAGCAGCAGCTAGACATCTATACACGCATACACGTATGCTACATGTATAATGTCTATGTATACGCAGCTCACTCCTGACAGTGGCGGTGGCAGCGGTGTGGTGCATAATAACAACAACAACAACAGCAACAACGAGCACTCGGATCCATAATACGATACAAGCATCTCTTCATTATATCCTGCAAATTAGAAAATCGATCGCGCTCGTCTGCGGCTCTCGAGTGGGAGCCTGTCTACGTACTTGCGGCGCGTATATATATCTGCGTATATACCTGTGTATATATCCTCGTATCCTTACGTATATAGATATATGTATATATCCTCCTCGTCGTTATATTTTGGCACTTCCGTTATTATATTTCGACGCTCGAAAACTGTACACAAGGTGTGTTACGATACATCCCTATACAACAATGAAACACTGCACAGCTCACGGCAGCTCACGTACGCGGCTCACGATATTATATAATAAGTCGAGCTCCGAAACGAGCTAGAGCTCGGCTTAGAAGGCGAAGGTGATTATATAGCTGTAAGCCGCGTTGTGTGTATGATAGATTATGAAAAATGACGACGACGATGTCGACGATGATAAACCCTATCGTCCCGCGTAGATCCGACTCGTGTGTTCTACGGTTACGGTATACTCTTCAGAAAGCAAGTTGACGTTTTTTCTTACGGATTATATATATCGAGCTTTCGCGCGATATGTATCAAAGACGATGATCGTGGATGATCAAAAAGCGCGAACGCCCGCAAAATTCGTAACGGGTGTAAAACGCGAGCTATCGTGTGCATTGCGGCGGCGGCGGCGGCGCGCGGCTTTATAAAGTCGCGTGATCCGAGCATTGGCCTGAAAAGGATATAATAAGCCTATACATGTGTGTGTGTGTACGCCACTCGCGTATTATTATATATGTACAAAACCCCAAGCGTGCACGTAAACTGTATACGTACTAGAGATGAAAATTTATCGTGCCACTGCTCTGTGTGTGTGTGAGTGTGTGCAATGAGTACCGATGTGTATAGGTGTGTACCGCCACTGCTGCTGCTGTTGTTGCTCGCGAACTGCACGACCACGAAGTTGTATACACGCGAGCTTGATCGAGATATATGTACGAGTGTATATGACCATGTTCCCAGAGCAGTCATAACACACACCCACACACACGTACTGAAGGGCGATTTTTCCGGAAGTTTCGCTGGCTCGTCGTCGTCGGTTTTTCCTAGGATACGTATACCGGTGAGCGACTCCATAACAAAAAAATTCTTCAGTTTCGAGAATAATGTCACGATTTGAATTTTGAAGAGAAATGATTTAGGATGAAGAGGGTTTACGTTGATATTATTTTTTTCGGCATTTTTCTGATCGATGTGGGAATTTTGGGTTTGGAAAAGATTCAAAAATATTAGAGAAAAAAAACTACGTTCAAAACGTGTTATTTATTATATTGTTATTTTTCGTACAACGGATAAGCAAAAGTTTTTCACAGTTATAATAACATAATAATAGCATGAAAAAAATGAAGAAATATTTAAGCCAACGTTTTCAACCATAAGGCTACTACTCGTATAAATGATTATTTATTGTGTTCACATATCTCGAGATAACTTTTTTTGAAGACTTCCAACGATCTTAAAATGTATTTACGCAGACTTTTGAAAGTTGCGATCAACATTAAATTAATTAGCCACAATTATGCACTTTATTTACGTGCCTTTTGAGACTATGTTTCAGTCCAAATGATTTTCCACAAATCTCACATTCAAAGGGTTTGCTACGATTATGAACTGCATTTATGTGCACATTGAGGTGTGATTTATGTCCAAACGATTTGTGGCAAATCTCACATTCAAAGGGTTTGCTATGACTGTGTACTCTATTTATGTGTTTCTTCAGATCACTCTTACAAGCAAATGATTTACGACAAATGTCACATTCGAAAGGTTTGATACGAGCATGTACTGTATTCACGTGACGCTTGAGGTAATTTTTTCGTCCAAATGATTTATAACAAATCTCACATTCAAAGGGTTTCTTATGATCGTGTATTGAATTTATGTGAGTTTTGAGGTAACTCTGATCTCTAAATGATTTGTGGCAAATCTTACATTCAAAGGGTTTGCTACGTTCATGTACTGTATTTACGTGTCTTTTGAGATGTTGTTTTTGTCCAAATGATTTATGACAAATTTCACATTCGAAGGGTTTGTTATGACTCTGTACTATGTGTTTCTTGAGATCATTCTTAGATGCAAATGATTTGCGACAAACGTCACATTCGAAAGGTTTTATACGAGCATGCACTGCATTTATGTGATATTTAAGGGTACTCTTGCGTCCATATAACTTGTGACAAATATTACACTCGAAAGGTTTCCTTCGATTATGAACTTCATTCACGTGAGTATTCAGGCGGTTATTCCGTGAAAATGATTTGCGACAAATTTCACATTCGAAGGGTTTGCTCCGATCGTGTACTATACTCAAGTGTTTTTTTAGGGTATCCTTTACTCCAAATGATTTGTGACAAATCTTACATTCGAAGGGTTTATTCCCATTATGTACTACATTTATGTGCGAATTGAGGTATGATTTTCGTCCAAATGATTTATGACAAATCTCACATTCAAAAGGTTTGCCACGATCATGTACTGCAGTTATGTGATTTTTGAGCTGATATTTTTCTCCAAATGATTTGTGACAAATATCACACTCGAAAGGTTTGCTACGGTCATGTACAGTCATTACATGAGATTTAAGGTGACTTTTGTATCCAAATGATTTGTGGCAAATGTTACATTCGAAGGGTTTGCTACGATCATGTACTGTTTTTTTGTGAGATTTCAAGTTACATTTGTATCCAAATGATTTGTGGCAAATGTCACATTCGAAGGGTTTGCTACGATCATGTACTGAATTTCTGTGTTGAATGAGGTTACCCTCGCGTCCAAATGATTTGTGGCAAATGTCACATGGATACAGTCCTTTTCTTTTGAGTACCGTATTATTATGCTTTTTTGGACTTGCTCTAGGTGTATAAGTTCCTTGACAAATTTCTTGGACATTTAATGATTTTCTGTCGAAGGTTGTTTCAAAACTCTTTAGCTTCTCATAATCGG